GTAAATTATCTGGGAAGTGCAAAATAAATGATGTTTCTCCCAGAGATGAATAGAGGTGTTAGTGTAAAAAAAAAAAAAAAAGAAAAAAAAAAAAGAAAAAAAAAGAAAAAAAAAGGTGGTTTAAGGGAGAAAATGTGTGTGTGGATGGGAGGGAAGGAGTGAGAGGAAAAATGAAGGAGAGGGGAGGGAAAAAACACAAGAGAGGAAGAGTGTGTTGGAGGGAGTGGGCCACTCTGTTTGGTAATGGTGGGCTGTGATAGACAGGAGCAGAGACCCCGCGTGGACTCATCCATCAATGGGAGAAGAAATCATGAGCAGTTTGGCTGGTGTTAACTTACTGGGAGGAAATTGAATTCTGATGAAAGTACGAGAGGAAATTGGCACAAAGCATCAGAAAGGGCAGCAGAGGCCAAAGCAGGGCAAACAATGAGCGTAATAGCCAAGTTCCCAGTGCTTGAAATTAGCACAGGGGAGGGGAGCGTGGGGGCTGGAAAGTGTCACTCATAAACTCTCTAGGCAAACATCCCGCCTCTCACGCTTCCTGCTTGGATGGTGAAGCCGCCACAGCCCCGGCCACGGGTCCGCGTGGGGAGCGAGGTGTTGGTGTGCGGGGCCGGGGCACCGCGTCCCCAGAGCTGCTGCTCTGCTGCAGACGGCTCCGGGAGGGACAGGGTGTCCCCGTGGCGTGTCCTGGTCTCCTGGGGGAAAGCCCTTTGTCCTGGTGACACCTCTTTGGGGGCAGCACACACCACTGCTGCGTGCATCCCTGCTGAAAGCCGGGCCTGGCTGTGCTGGCACGCTGCATCCCGTGGGAAGGTGGTTTCCCACGTCATGGTGCCGTGTCCTGGGAGCAGTGGGTCACGCTGCGTTGTGCGAGGTTGGTGCTGGCACTAGCAAGAGACCCCTGGTGCAAGGCGAGGTCGTGGAGGAACGAGTCTCCAGCGCAGCGCCGTGGCCAAAATTATTCTTGTTACTCCATTGTCGATCTGGGACCTCCAGCCTTTTCTAACCACCTACTCCAGATTGACTGGTCATGGCTTCATTTTGGGGGCAATATGGACACATCTCCCTCCAAAAGCTGCCTGTGTCACCAAGGGGTCAGCACACACAGGGGAACCACCAGGCCCAGCTGGGCCAGGAGTAAGAGCTGGGCTTGCTAGGTTGTATTGTCTGGAGGTCTCTAGATCTCTGCGGTTCCAGCAGGGAGGATCTGTTGGTGCCAATGTTTGGGGACTGGAAATGAGGCTGAGTCGTAGCAGCCTGTTTGATGCCAGCCCCTGGCCAGCTGTAGGATGTAGGGGCACAGCCTCCTTTATCACAGACTCATGGTTGACTGTGAATGTGGATCCCAGAGCCAAAGAGTTTTGGTGCCATCACCAGCCACTCTACTGCAATTCTTGATCCTGTGGTTAAATACGAGCAGACAAATCTCTGGTCCACCTCAGTGCACAATGGTGTCTCCTTGGTTTTTGCATTCAATTCCCAAGAGTGAATAAATCATTTCTAAGCACCCGTTCCCAGGGAAGAAGTTGATTTCTTCCTACTATGTCCATGATGAACAAGGATACTCACATTATTTCTTATTATTTGGGTGCACACAATGTGTACTTCACTTTGAAGCATGAACGTATTATTTATCTTTTGCTGTGCTGAGGAGTGGCTACACACAATACTCTCGGTGGGCATTGTTGCCTGTTTAATGTTCAAACACGAAAAATGTTGGTTTCTTTGTGTTACTGTGCTGTGCTGAGGCGCCAGGTGGGACAGAGGCTGCCTTGTGTTGGATGCGGGGCAGCACACGCAGAGCAAACAGCGGCTGTGGCTCCAAGCAGACGCTGAAGGAGGCTGCTGGAGCAACCCTGTGCCTTTACAGCAGGGACAGTTTTATTAATTTGCCCAGGACCTTCAGGAAACTCTTTGCTAGAGCCCAGAACTGAGTATCCCACGTGCTAATTCAGTGCTGTCCTCACCAGCTGTCCTTTCTTTTAGTAGCTCAGCTGGTTGCTGCATGCCGTGGAGTGGCTGTGGCCCACCTACATGTACATTCCTGTGTCCCTGCAGGCCGTGGTGCGCAGGAGGTGAGTGCTTGGTGGCCACGCCACGGGGACTGTGAGCTAACACAGGGCAGCAGCAAGGAGCCCTGGTGCCTGCTGGGGAAGGATCTCTTCTTGCAGAGGACCTTCTTGCCTCTGCAGCTGCAGAGGACGGGGAGCCCCGGAGCCTGGCTGCCCCCTGCCTCTGCCTGCTCTGGCTTTGGAGCGGGGGCTCCGTGGTGTTCCCCAATCCTCCGAACAACCGTGGTGCAGCTGTAACCGAGGGGCTTGTGAGTGCTGTCACCGTAATTATGTCTGGTCAATAAAGTGAAGGGTACTGAGAGTCACGGCAGTTTGGGGGATGAAGGCTGGCTTAATTACAGCGACCAAATCTCTCACATCTCCGCCGTCTGCTGAAGCACCAGCCCGCCTTCATGTGCTGCCCTTTAGCAGAGCTGCCTATCATGCATCTAAACAAACAAGCAGGGAAGACAGAGGGGAGATTGTTTGTCAGGGATGTGTCTTTGCGAGGGAGGAGCAGCAATATCTGCAGGAGGGACTGAGGTGAAACCCAACATCAAAGGCAAGAGGCTGTCAGCACATTTAACTTTACAGAAACCCTTCTCCTAATAAAAAAGGAATGACCTCGTTACTACGGACACTAACAGTTCCCAGGGGAACACCGGGAGACTGCCGCCTGCACTTTCAATATTCACTTTACAAACAAATGGGAAACCTTGAAATAATTTCAGTGTTGTTCTTGGCAAGTTGCTACACCGTTGCGTCCTTATAAAAATCATCTGAGAATTTATGTACTGCGAGTTTACTTTTCATCCGCTGCTTTTCCTTGCTATCAGTCTCCCTCTCCCTGCCTCTCACCACCCCAACCGCTGTGGGAAAGGCGAGGATGCCCCAGGGGCGAGGTGTTGCCGCAGCCCGTTCAGCAGGAGGCACTCTGAGGCTTGGTGTGGCTACCAAGAGAGGGCCTGATTCTGGAGGAGGTGAGCTACAAGGGGTGCCCGGGCACCGTGGCGCTTGGGAGATGCTGCAGGCTGGCATGGAGCAGTGTGGGGTGGGGGCCAGTGCAGAGCTCGTGTCCCAGCTCCTCGCAGCGGGACTTGCCACAGGGAATCGTGGCTGGAAAGCTGGCATGGAGCAAACCTGGGGCTCCCCTGGGCCTCTGTGAAAGAAACAGGGAGAGGGAGCCAGACCGCTGCTGCTGCTGCGTGTGTTGTGCGCATGCTTGCAAATGGGGGTGCAGCGCGGTGCGATTTGGTCAGCCAAATCTCTCTGCAAATTACACGAGCGGTCTCTGAGGCTTGCAGCCCAATTTGCCATAGTTCGAGTGACCAGAAGTCTTGCCCAGTGTTTTCTTGGTGTTACATTCTTGGAATGGTACCTGAGGGAGGTTTGCAGAAATGCTTTCATTGACTATTAGGAGGGAAATGCTCTGCACTGGAAATAAACCCTTACGGCTGATGCTTCAAGCCATTCAGCAGCAGTCCACAAACTCTCGCACACACTTGAGGAAGGTCTCCCTTCCTCTCCTGGCATCTGCACACGGGGACTTGCAGGTATTTACCCTCTGCAGAACCCCACCAGCCCCACACACTGTGTGGGCAGAGCTAAAGCCACACGGAGGTCTAAGCCGGTGACATCCCCGTCTCCTACACATAGGCAATGACGAAGCAGCTATCCTTGTACTGACCAAGGATCTCCAACAGGGGTCTAGGTTTTATATATATATTTTATATAAGAGTGGTAATGGACAAAATCCATTCTGCAGGTTCATGTCACGTGGAGCTGGACATTTTATCTCCTTTATAAAGACCTTTGAGATCTATGAACCAAACACTACAGGAGAAGCCAGATGTTAACACAGAAAGATGGGCTGGATTTCTCTTTGCCTGAGTGATGTAAATAAGTTGTCTTGGGTAAATGTGAAGGAGTTAACCTGTATTAAACCTCAGAGCCAATGATATGAACCACCGAAATGCAGTTTTTGCAAAAGGCCTAGGCACTTCTATAAAGCTGTACCTCACCCGGGTACTCTTCGGAGTTGCTCTGACACGTTTGTATATTCTGTTTCTCTGTTACGGCAAGTTTCATCTAAACACCAGTGGGAATTTGTAGATGTTAATAAATGTCTTCATGAGGTGAAAATAAAAGTCATACAGAGGCAGATACTTGGAAGTGCAAGTGCCCATTTGTGCACATGCCCTTATATTTGTAAAAAGGTATTAATCCCATATGCACTGGTAGTCATTTTGAGGCTTTGGTGGGACACATCATCGCAGCTCAGCCCCAAGGAACTGTAGGCTCACATTATTACCAGCAAGTGAAAAGTAGGAGGATGGACTTGCAAAGACCATCTCCATCAACTTCACTGAATTCCCCGATAGACTTTTACATGCACATCTAACCTCGAGCAAAGATACAGCGAGGCAGTGAATTAAAAAGTAGCCAAGTATGTGCCCAGAATAGCAAGTGCAAGTGGGCATACAACCATCCGTGTGCTACAGCATAAGGAAGGATGGCTGGCAATTAGCAGTTCGGAGAGAGACACTGGGAAATCGCAGGTCACCTCCTGGCTCTGCCACAAATTTCCTTTGTGCCCTTGCCCAATTCACTTTATCTCCTTGTTCTTTGTTCTCCAGCTAAGGCAAAGAGGCAATAGCACCTCCCCACTGGTGTTGTACCTTGGCATTGGGAGGAGGCAGGGCTCAACTCTGCCTGTGTTTGTACACACCTGAGCTAAAGAAAGTCCAGATGAGAGCAGCTCTGGTGTGCCAGTGGTCTGCAAAGTAATTACGTCAAATATCTGGATCAACAATGAAACTTCACACTGTTTGTTCATTTGGGGTTGGAGCAAATATTTCATTCAACGATGCGGAATGTAATGCTTGGCTTTAGGTTCAAGTCCTAATTTTATTTTATTTTGTTTGCTTGTTTGTTTTTGTATTTTAGGACAGGTTTGTGTGTCTGTGTGCGCTGGAAGGGAAGAAAGACTGCTGTCCTCCTGCACCTGACTGTTGGCTTTAAGGGTGCAGGGCACTGAATGGCCCAGCACAGAGACTTCATCCTCCAGCAGGGTGGTAAGAACAAATCCTCTCGGTCAGCTGCTGTTGCTCTCTGGACTTCTGCCTTTCTAGGTGGGACAGTGTGGCCTCTTTAACCCCATCACTGGATCAGTGCTCCCAAATTAGTGTAATCATCCCGCCCGAATTAAGCAAGCAGCTCCTGGCTCCTGGCTCCACAACCCAGCCTTGGGCTTCCACTCTCAGCCTGGTGCCCGCGTCCCCCTCTTCCTCCTTCTCCCTCGAAGCCCCCTGCTTGTGGGCTCCTTGATATTTTCCAGACCTTCCCTAATGAGCACTGCAGAATTACAGCTAATTAAGGATGTAAATGATGCTGGAGAGAGAGAGGGAGAGGGAGAGGATGGGAAGGGGTGGGGGGGAGGGCAGCTACTCGCTGTGTGCAACTCTGCAGTAAAGTGTCTCCTACCTCAGCAGAAAAGTTATCATGGGAGACAATGTCAACTTTATGGAGGGGGGGAGGGCCTTTAAACGCCTCCGTCCCCGCCCGTAATAGCTGCTGCCTCTCTTTTATGTGTCAGCGCTGCAGATGCTGATGTCCTCCCTCCCAAATGCTGCTTTGTCAGCTGGCGCTGTCACAGAGCCCTGGGTCTCTCCCTCCCGCTGGCTGCCGTCCTCGCCCTGATGGTGCCGGGGGACCGAAGGCCTCGGAAAGCTGCAGTGGCCTGCCCCTGCCCGCGGGCACCTTCTCCCCAGCGTGGGCCAGGTCCTCTTCCGTGTCCAGGGGTTGGAGAGGACCCCCTGACCGGTCCCGCTCCGTCTGGAGATCATTTGTGCCTTGCCACAGGCAGGGGGACCAGGCCGTGATGGGGAAATACACCCGGCACCGCGCTGCCGAGCGGCCTTGGCAGCTGCCGGGGGGACGGCTCTGCCGCACCCAGCAGCTGCTTGGTCCTCCGAGTGCTTTTGGAAGCGCTTTGGGTCCCCATGGCCATATTTGCCTGCACGCCGCCCCGATCAATGGGTTGTGAAGGCGCATTTGTCCCGGCACCACGACCCGTCCGTCTGTCCGCCCGACGGCGGGTCAGGAGCAGGCGGTGATGGGCGGCGGCGGCGGTGGGTTTTGTTGTTGTTTCCCCAGATCGCTGTGCAATATATTCCGATTTTTTTTCTTGTCATTAAGCCAGTGCCTCGGAGATGATGATGTAGTCCCTATGTGGGCCGCAGAAAGCACTTCGAGCCGTGCTGGAGTCGTGCTGGGTGGCTCTGATAGCAGAGCTAATGGGAGCGAATGGGATGCAACGAACTGTTCTAATGACACCAGCCAGGGAAGAGACAACAGTAAGAATAAATAAATGTTAACTATTTTCCTCTTCCAGACATTTGCATCTATTGCCATTAAGTTCATTTAAATAAGAGAGAGAGCGAGAGAGAAGGGGAAACTTACTACTACTCTTAATAACGAGTGTCTAAAAATAAATTAGGATGCTGGGATGCACTTAAGGCATTTTAAAAATAAGTCTTATTTTTCCCCCCTTCTCCTCTTTTTTTTTTTTAAGTGTTGGAGGGTTTTAATTTGGGCCGAGTAATTTTGGTGCAAACGCTTGGGCGCCTTTCGTTGGGAAATTGGGAGGAATGCAAACAAGATTTCACTTCATTAAACAGGGGCAAACAGTAGAGAAATTGCACTTACTTATGGAAATGACTTTTAAACATGAACAGCATTTACTTGCATTGCCTTGTGCTGAATTTTTTTTTTTAAAAAGATTATACATGTGAATAATTCACTGCGGGCCAATTAGATGATGACTTCATTTTTAACCTCTCTTCCTTGCCATCTTGCTGGCTGCCCCTTTCATTGCAATTTCCACCCTCTTCCCTCACCTCCATAAATTAATAAAGATCAAATAATCCCTCTCCCTGCGGTGCCAAGAGCTAGCATCTCAGAAGGGGAGGTCTGAGGATTGCTGTCTCTACTGGCCTGCCCCGGGATGAAGCAGGAATAACTCTGAAGGGTTTGTGCAAGCAGGGCTGCACCCATTTTTTGGAGAAGAAGAAATGGGAGAAATAAATGAACACGAATAAGGGTGTGGGGGAGAGAGATATCTGTGTGCTCTCTGCATGTAAGATCCTGGGCCGGGCAGAGGCCGAGCGAGCAGGATTCACCCCTGTGCAGCTCCACGGGTGTTGGTAGGATGGCGCTGGGGTGGGGATGCTCTGCCGGGCTAAAAGCAGGGCTGCCTCTGAGGGACATCCCGTTGGGGTGGGCCTTGCCAGTGGGCCCTGAGACCCTGCAGTGTCCCTGGGCCCAGGCCCAGGTGGCAATGGTGCGGGAGCGTGGTTACAGCCAAGGCAGGGCTGGGATGCACGGGGGAGCCTGGGCCTGTGGTAAGGGCACTTTGCAGCAACAGCATCAGTGGATAGGAAGTGTTCTCTGTTGGGCCTCTGTGTTTTTTCCCCATCTAGGAGATGATGCAAGAAGAGTCAGACGTTCCTGCTGACATCACCCCACGTGCCCGGGTTTTTCACAGCTCAACATGGGAAGCAGCCCAGAGGGCTTCGTGGCAGCAGGACCTGCCAGACCATGCCTGGTGCTGGGAGGAAGGAGCGCTAAAAGGGATTGTCCCCCTCTGGTCCCCACTTTGCTTCTGCGTTTCAGCCTGTCAGCTTGAAGTGGGCATGGGGAGACTGTCGTTGTAAATCCCAATCACACTTAGAGGAAGACGATGCTTATCCTCAGAACACTTTTTTTCCAAATGTTGAACCTGTCTCTCTCTACTGTAGCTCTTTGCAGTAATTAAATTATGTAATGCAAAGCTTAAAGCCACTGAAAACATAATTACAAAATGTAGAATTAGTTCATTATAAAGGATCAGCTGGCCTACCTGTCTCGTTTCTGTGTTTCTTGTCTTGTTCTTTTGTCCTGTTCCTGATTACTGGAGTAAGACCCACCCTTCACCAAATGTGGCTGCTACGGCTTCTATCCCCCTCTCACCTGCCCTAAGAGGAAGGAGAAACTCTGGTGCCTTCCCAGTGGAAGTGCCAGTCCTCTGGCATTGACAGGGCAAGGGAAAATGGGAACATCTTCCCTGCTGGCATTGCCCTCAGCACCTCTCTTTCCTTTGTTGAGCAGGAGGTTCCTCCACTGATGCCAACAGAGTGACGTTGCTGGAGAGTCCCTGCTGGTGGGGTTTGGGCCAGCCCTGTGGGGTGAGGGGCCATGTCCTGTTATCCCCACCGTGCAGATGAGGAAACGGAGGCACGGAGCAGGCAGGACACCCATTAGGTCCCAAATGTCCCTGGCCAGGCACAGGCAGCAGTGGGGAGCTGGGGCCCTGCTCCGAAGCCCAACCGGGAAGCGCCTCTCCTCACGGCTGCGGTGTTTCCTTTCCCGTGAGGTCACATTCCCAGCCTTTCCGAGCCGTGTTTTTATGGCTCTTAACTGATTACAGTTTTAGTGGGGAGGAGGTGGCTGCAAGCGATGACCTGTGATTTCCAGGGAAGGGGAGAGCACAGAAACTTCAAGCAGCGGGGCTTCCTGCTGGGCGCAGCCTGTTTTAGAGCCCTTGTGTCAATGATGGCCTCCTGGGGCACTTCCCCACTCTATTTATTTACCCAGGGGAAGCCCAGCATGCCCCCTCCAGCACCCAGGCCAAGCAAATTCCCTCTCCTAGCAGTGGGGCTTTCAGCCTGGACCTGGGAACCTTGCAATGCCCATTTCTGAACCACATCAGCAGTTTTAGAGAGCAGGTTCCCAGGTGAAGAGGCTGTCGGTCTTTGCCAGGCTGCAGGGCTGTCCCACAGAGTAGCAGGAGAGCACACTGTGAGCAGCGAGACCAGGTTCCTACAGTCAGCGATGTACCCAGCTTTTGCTCTGTGCCTGGTGCTGCAGGCTGTTGTGTACCCTGCAGGACTTGTTCTGCTCACGCTGGGCTGTGCCAGCTATTCCCAACAAACCCCAATGCAGACCTTTTTATCCTGGAATATCCACACTTGGAGTTGTTCAGCGATGTCGCCCTGAAAAGCTCCACAGAGAAATAAGCCCAGAAACACCAGCTATGAGGCAGCATGTTGTGTGCCGAGCTGTCTCTGCAGGAGAGGCGCTTCCATCTGCTGCACACCTCTCGGATTCAGGAATAGGACCCTGCGGGCTGCTCGGTGCCTCCATTGACCTCAGCAGGCTTAGCACCGGGGACAAGCTAAACACTCATTAACCTGCTTCCCCACAAGCGCCTTCTGGGCCGGGGGCTGCGTGAGCAGCTTCAGGGCTGCTGGGCTTCAGCAGTGGGTCCTCATCAGCCCCGTCCCCGTGGGAGCAATGGGGTCATCTGCTGTCATGGCAGGGCCTGGGCAGGCAAGGCAACGTGAGGCACAGCAAGGCACAGCGAGGCAATGCAATGTGAAGAAAGGCAGGGCAAAGCAAGCTCTGCTCTGTGCAGTCTGGAAACCTTGGGCTGAGGAGGACTTTGGAGGTTATCGATGTATCTGACTCTGAAATGAGCTTCATTCTTCTCTTCAGCCTCCTAATGACAGACACGGGTCTCTGGGCAATGAATCAACAACTGCACGCAGAGGTGAGCAAGTGCCAGACACCGTTATTGACGTTCCCCTGACACCTCCTGCCAGGCTGCACCACGCTGGGGCTGGAGAGCGTGGGGCTGGGCTCCATGCACGAGGGCTGGGGGAGACGCTGGGCTGAGGCCTCCCAGCAGGATTTGCACACAGCTGAAGTTCTGCCTTTGCTTTCTGTATGGGCTCCATGGAGAACTGGTGGCATTGGTGGTGAGGTGAGGGCTTTGCAAAGGCGCTGGTGGTGCTGCCAAATACCATCAGGGCATGAGAGGTAGCACACCAGGAGCACGTGGGGTAGGCACATCCATCTCACATCGTCACTGATGGGAGCCGTGTGATCAAGAGCTGACTGAGACATGGCTTTTTCCACAACAAACCTCAAATGTTTTTCAGTTTGGGCAGAGTAGAAACAGTTTCCTCACACCAAATGCAAGAACGCATTTTTGATAACACTCCTCCCATTAAAACAAACTGTCTCCCATCACTTTTATTTATTTATTTATTTTACTTTAAAAAAAGAACATGAACTTTTGACAGAAAAAAATCATCTTGAAACACTTTCTGCTTTATTATGTTTTAAATCCAGCTGCAGAGTACATTTCTAGAGCTTACCTTTCATTAGCAAAAAAAACTTGCAGTCTTCTAGGGCTATGTAATAAAACAGAAATATATAAAGCAAAGAAGAAAAACAAACAAACAAACAAAAATATTCTCCTGAAAGCATTTTTGAAGGAAGCATGGTAAGTGTAAACCGAACCTTCTAAAACTCACCTTTAGTAGTTCTCATCAATCGGACAACCTCTCTTATTCAGAGTTAAATTCTCCAAACCAGGAAGAGCAGAAATCCCTCTCTGCCTTTCACTTCTGAAATGAGGTGGAGGGAGACTCCTGATATTTGTGACTCATTGCTGTATGGAAATGGTGGAGCCAAGTTGGTATCATGCCCTCTTACCACATACCAATTCACATCAGAGGAGCACTCAGACTTTTAAGCATGTATGTTGTCTCCTCCCTCTCCTCCTTCCAGAAGGCAGACCAGGTGCTTTAGCTGCGTTGTGCGAGTGTGAGGACACCAAGACACAGAGGTGAGGGCAGTCTTGCCCAGGGTCACACTGCACAAGTTATCATGAGAAAAGTCACTCTGCACTTGGCTGTGAGTAGTCCAGCAAAGAAAAACACGGCCCAGCATCATATGCTCTATGGCCATCACTGCGCTGCCTTTTGCATCCACTCTGCTCACCAAATCCTCTTGCTATCTGTCTAACAAGCAAAGACAACATAGGAGAAGGCAGATCCAAGCTGACTTCTGGTGCCATGGGCACTAACGCTGTTGCAAGGGGAGGAAGTTGGGGTGTTTCTGCGTGTCGATGCCCCAGGTTTCTGAGAAGATACTGCAGTTTGTGGCACATCCATCTTGTGGCAGGCTTTCCGACCTCAGAGTCACATGCAAGGAAATGAGCAAGAAATGGGAAAGCCAAGGGGAAACAACAACAAACAAATATATATATATATATATATATATATATATATATATACATATATTCTCATGGGGCCCTGGCTGGAGGAATAAGGACCTGGGGTGGTCCTGGTGCAAAAAATACACCCCCCTTTTTCACCCATTCACTCTGTGTTTTCCTCTCTGGGTCCTGCTCCCCTCTCCTCTCACCCTCCCCCAGCTTGCCTTGTAATTCAGGAAGAGGAGGCCAAGGAGAGTAATGTCGTGCTGGAGATAGGACTGGAAGGGCAGTAATTTAGAATCAGAGGCTTATAGTATTATTGCCTGCAAAGCCATTCATGGGAAATGATTCCCCCCATCCCCATTCCTCCCCCCCTGCCCCGCTCTCCTTGCTCTGCAATAACAATAACAGAAATGCCTTCAGGAGGCTTTTCTACTCAAAATGCAGGCAAAGGAGCGCTTTCCTCCACCACCCCTCTTCTTTCCCTTCTCTTCCCCCTGCACTCGCTTGTCCCCCCTGCCTCCAAGCCTAACCACTGCTCCCTCCCTTCTCCCTCCCCCCCACCACAGGATAAAAAAATAAAAATAATAATAGGGGTAATAAGAGAGGAGGTAATGGAACGTTCTCCAACTGGGCACATGTCAGAAGCCATTATATGTGGTGCAGATTTGCATAATTCAAGAAGCATCAAATTAAATTTGCATAATTCCTTTGATTACACTTGTTATTAAATGTAAGTGACATTGATTTACAAAATGGCCCAATATAAGGTTAATAGCAAATGTCACCTTCCAGCAGGGTGAATAGGGTGCGTGTGTGGTGGTGGTGGTGATGGAGGAGGGGGAAAGGGGGGTCTGGGGAGGAAGGCGAGCAGACAATTGATTTCTGCTCCTCTCTTCCTTAAAGGGCTCAGGTCTCCTTTGCAGAGGAGCCCTGGGGTTTGGGCTTCACGTGGCCGCAGTGCCTCAGGATTGCCTGCCAAGTGGCGTCGATGCTGTCGATGCTGTCGAGGCTTTGCTCGGAGCTCCCGCGGGGAGTCGGGCAAGCCTGGCTCAGCACAGGGCGCAGGGGGAAGGGAAAGCCAAAAACTGGGACTGCAGCCAGACCTGTAAGGTACATACAGACCCACAGCCAGCAATGAAAGGCTCTGTGAAGTGCACACAGAACCCGTGGTGATACAGGCCCTGCACCATCGAACACCACCAGAGTACCCTGGGGGCTGTGGCAGTGACACCACCCCTGTTTTGCCTACACGGACCTCAGACCGTCTGAACACTCGCCTTGCAAGCAGATCCCACCTCTGTGTATTGCCTTGCCTCTCTTTTTTCCACATTTTTTTTTGGACAGGTGTGATTTCATGCTGGGAAGCTGACTGGTACATTGTGTGAACACTCCAAGACTGGAGTGATAAAATAAAATTATGCATGTACTGGAATTGGGCAAATAGCAGATTTACTGGTCACAGGCAATTTCAGCGATGCACATACCTGGCCACAATCTTGCTTTGGTTCCACTGAAGCTTGCTTTTTTTTTTTCAAATCAACAGGCTGGGGGAGGAAAAAATAATCACTTTTGATCAAATTAAATGTCTTGTTCAGTGTGAAAAAGAATGCTCCTTTTGGTGACAGAGCTCTGTAAACATTGTCTAATAGCATCCAAATAACATTAGAAAGGAAATATCATTCTGAAGCAGCAATCAGAAGGCTTTTTCAGAATGTGTCAAAAGAGAAAGCACATGATTTTCTAGAATATTTTTCCTATGGCTTGGTTTTTTTTTTTTTCTTTTTTTTTTTTTTTCTGTACTTTGAGCAACACAAGCTGCTGAAAATGCCATAGATTTGCAGACAGTGAAGTTTCCTGAGAAAAAGTGTCCCAAGGAGAAGTGTGTCTCTGCCAACCTGTCCATATCTCCACGAAGGCGGTGCAGACCCGCACTGGTGGGGAAAAGCCTCCAGACAGTCCTGACCAAAGCAGGATGATGGCAGAGGTGTGCATCCCACCCTTGAAACTGGGCTCTCTCTATTCCAACGGATCTGGGTGGAGGAACCTAGGAAACCCCTGAGGGGCCACCCCAAGCTCCCGCTGGTGGATGATAGGATTCTACTGAATCTGGTGATAGAGGAGCTTTGGCTCCATATAACCAATGCTCATAGAGGAGAATTGGTTATATGGAGTCAGAAAGGGTAGCAATGACAGGATATTAGAGCACATGGGCTGTGCAGGTATGCCACAGTTGCACTGGCTGGTGTTGGGGTTTTTACACACATCCTGTGATGTGTACTGATAAGATACAAATACTCCCATATTTCCATCAGGACAAGTGCAGTGACTGGTCTGTAAGCCCAGGCTTTCCAGCCATTTGCAGCTGACTTTCGTATTGTGCTAGTTCTGCTTTGGAGCTCTGGAAGTCCATGCCCAGGATGCACCCGTATTTCAGAGCCCAGCACAGTAACTGGAAGCCAGCTCTAAGATGATCTAGATGATCACCTAGTGGACAAAAGATGTGAAGAGTATTGTAGGCCTTCAGGCAACTGTAAAGGAAGCTGTGGTACATATGCTGCCCTGTACATCACCCCACACCCACTGCAAAGCCGGGCCTTGCTACAGGCCCTTCCTTCCTGCCCTGCAGCAGAACTATTCATGACCCTCCTGGGCGCTTCTTCACCAGTCCTCCCAGTGCTGCCCATGCCACTGGGGAGCTGGGGAGCCAGGCTGGAGGCCTAGCAAGCACAGCGGGTTGTGGGGAGAGGCTGGTGTGAGGGGCAGCCCTGGCTCGGGCTGACAACTGCTGACATCGTCATATTTAGCACCCGCACGCAGCGAGCCTGAGCGAGGCTCGCGCGCTGGGTGAGCCAACTGCAAATTAATCGTCAGTTCATTACTGCGCCGTGCCTTTCATCCTGACAGCAGCCTTTCAGACGTGGGTATAATTGGAAGGGTCCGTGAGGCAGGAATTTGGGGAGGGGGAGCGAAGGGCTCTCCCGCTCCCTTTCTCAGGCTGCGTTCTGGGAACAGCAAGCTTGGGACGCAGAGGAAATTAATCTCTCCTGCCCCTGTATCTCGCCTCTGCCACCTACACCCCTTGCCATACATCGGGCTCTCAGTACTGGGAGGTCTGCTTGCATCCAGGAGGTTCCCTCCAGCTATAATTACCCTCAGCTTGCAAACGAAGTGTGCAGAGGAGCAGGGCCGCCTGCGAGGACACGGGTGTGTGCGTCGCTGCCGGTGCTGGTGGTGGGCACCGCGGTTGTTGTTATAGCAGCAGACCTCGGATTTCATTTGTCATGGCACCTCAGTCTCCCCAGTGGTCGGGCGATGCAGACGTGCCTCCAGCACCTGTCCTCTGCAGTGTACGGCAGGGCAGTGAACCCCCCAAGTGGGCATCAGAAAGCACAGGAGGGGTCAGCCCCTTCCAACAGCCCATTTTGCGGCTCACAGTGGCGATGGTTTGCTCCTCTGGACGAGGCCGTGATGCTTTTCCCTCAGGAAGAGGGAGCCGTGCCGTGGGGACGCCAGCCCCCCTTCGCCGTGTCCCCCCTGCTCCTCCTGTGCAAAAGTTATTGTCGTCTTCGTGGAGTCTCAGGTAGGCAGATGAATGGGAAATGTTCCTCTCCATTACTAGCTGCACTTGACTGGAGTCTCATTACATTACGATGGCGCTTTAGCAGGCGAATGGGCCTTGCGTCTGGGTTCCCAGCACCCCTCATACCTCCCTGATAACGTAAATTACCCTCCGCCTCATTGCCTCAAATGATCAAACATCAAATTGCTAGTAAAAAAAAAAAAAGAGGAAAAAAGAGAGAGAAAGAGAGAGAGAGAGGAGGGAAAGGAGAAAAGCTGAACAGAACCATGGGTTGAATCTAGATGGTTTGTCAGCAACAAGAGACGAGTCAATGGCTCTTAAACACTTGCTAAAGATGAATCCATTGAAGGCTTTGAGCATGGTAATTTCGCTGACATTAAAGTACACCTGTAAAACCCAAACAATGCTTTATAACTCCAAATTACACCAGTCAAGACCTGCTACTTCAAAGCACCACTTATTTCATTTGGTCCAGGGAGGGGGGACCCACAGATAACCTATCTTCCTCTATCAACAGACTTCAGCAAAGCTGAGAGAGAGAGCGTGAGATTGGCGCGCACAGCATGGATTTGTTGTTGATTTTGTGGTTGAACAATGTGCCAGATCCTCTGCCCTCCCTTCTCCCCCCTCTTCTGCCCCAAGACAGATTTTCCCAGCCGGAGGAGCGGTTCCAGGATGAACGAAACAAGGAGGAGAAAAAGAGAGGGAGAGAGAGCAGCGCAGGTACGCGTGGGGCAGCCGAGAAATATGGATCTCGGCAGGGTAACGAGGCGCAGTGCAAAGAGGAGGCTATACGTCTTTTCTCAGTATTTAAACGTGTGCTTAATATGGCGCTCAGTGGAATGGTTAATCTGCTAATGCTGGTAGTGTTTGCTGTAGTACTCAGAGAAATGTTTACTGCAGTATTTCATGGGGATTGTGTTCTGGATGGCACAAAAGGAGGAATCGCTCTAGCGTACCAGGAAAATGTTCATTGCAAAATATACTGGAATATTAAGAGGTTTATTTAGTGGCGTACTTAGTATAATATGAAAAGAGTTAAGCACAGAGTGTTTTATTAATATTTTTGGGGTGTGGATGAATTTCAGTGCTCAGGAAGGTTATGGAGAAGCAATTCCAGCAAAGGCTGGTTATGTTCATAGATTTATAGATCTTAAGAGCATAAAGGACTCTTTGACCAGCTAATCTGACCTTCTGTATAACACAGGTATATACAGTGTGGACATACCTCCTGATTCAGCAAAGCACTTTAAGCACTTGCTTAAATTTAAGCATTTGAGTTGCCCCATGGAAGGCATAGAAAATAACCCTATTGAATCAATGGGACTATTCATGCCCTTAATGGGAAGTAGATGTTTAGGCATTTGCTGAATTGGGACCACAATAAGATAATGCAGCTAAATGAGTAATTCATAGCCACCCATTTATTCAACTGCTTTTGCCTCCTTTTCTGCTTGCGGATTGCTCTGGAGCCAATCGCCATTTCCTGCAATGTATTCATTGTCTGAAGTCATTCACTGAATAATTTCAGTGAAAACTCTTTCTTGATAGCTTGCTCATAAACAGTTCATTGTGAATATGGGAATATTTGAACATACGTTTTAAGAATGTGCGTGCATGCTTCTGTGTGTGCGAATGAAATATGTAAACACACATGCACGTGCACACACAAGTCCAGGGTCAGGATCTTTGGCTCCAATAAAAAGACACATCTCGTCGTCACAGGTGAAGCTATGCCAACTCCTCTGACCAGCACCCTCACAACCCTGCTTCCCAGGTCCCAGTTGCCCTCATTTTGAGCAGACCCATGATGTTTCTCACCCCGACTGCATGAAGTGATGCCTGAGGTCCAGTTTTAAATGCAAATATTTACCCAGGGAATTTTTCAAACATGTCTTTATGATTTTTCTCCCATGTTCATTTGGTGCATGCTGGTTTGCAGCACATTCCCCGCGGGGAAGTGATCTGCTGGGAATTTTACAAAAAGTGGAATGGAAGAAGGTGCAAAATTAGTTGGAGTGAACTCAGCATATCATCATCCACATTTGTGTACCTGTGCCAGGCCCTCCGTTCTCCATCCTTAGTCAGTCATGAATCCATTCTGATTTATTTTGAATGCATTGCTTAGGGATTTTCCAAATCAGCCAGGGTGTATCTTCTTCAAACAAGTGTGTTTGCAAACTGCTTGTGGCATGGAATCGGTCAATTAAGCAGCTTGGTATTTTTTTTTAAACTGGAACAAAACTGAAGAACAGGTACCATGAATAAGCCTGGAAGCCTTGCTGGTGGAATTGTGTTTGTGCAGTGGCCAGCTCCAGTTCTCACGCAGACCTTACTGGGCATTATGCATTACAACATGGGAATGATTTGATTCTGATGTAGGCTGCCAGATATATATTCCTTCTAAAAGTCACACCACTTTTTAAGATTTGCTTATGTTTTCAGGAAATCAAAGGAATTACCCTGATATTCAAGAGTAGAATACAAATGGCTACAAATTAAAAACTGATCTTGGTGTTTCCTGAAATTCAGTTAATTTTCTTTCTTCACATTCCTCTGAGCATCAGAGAGGAATGTGATGGAAACTGGGTGGCAGCTGGTCAGTTTTGGTGTTGGGACAGTTCCTACAAGCTGCAGGAGGTGTGCACTGGTGATGCTGCATGCCGTCCTTTGGGGATCCCAGCAGCCCCAGCATCCTAAATCGCCTCTGAATAGCCCTCTCATTCTGAATGTGCTGGAGCTGGAGCTGACATGCTCGGCGTGGAGGGCTGCTGATCTGGGCTGATTGCAGACAAAACCTTCTGTCTCATCTGTAAGTGCACGAGGTTACAGTGAAACAGTGCTAAAGGAATTCACGTGGAGGAAGTTTGAAGCAGGACTTGTGACAAGAATTGATTATAACAAGTGTCAGGATGAGTCACCGAGCACAATATTTCATTTGTTTAATTAGAATTTTGAGAATCATTTTTGTCTTTCATTTGTCCAAATAAAAATTCAGGGAGTTTTGTTTTTCCCTGGTTAACCTAAAGGAGGCTTTGGAGGTGTATTTGGTTTTTTTTTTAGATACTTCAGTAAAACAGAAGGCCACCATAATTTTTCCAGGCTGAAAGAGACGTGCTGTTTACAGATGGCCACTGTCCTTTTTTAAAAAAACATTTTTTTTCCACACGGAGAAGAACATTTCAACACGAAAAATCAATTGCAATTATTCTTTTTCCAAAATGTAAAATGAAACATTTTGACTTTTCAAAATTACCTTTTCCGTTTCTATTTTTCCCTTGTGGGGGATGATTGGCCAAATTCAGCATGAGCTAGCAAGCAGCTTGAGTCAGCTAAAAGCACAGTTTATTCTGCAAATCAACTTTATTCACTGAAGTAAAAAAGAGAAACTGCAAATCCTGATGCTGCTTTCCACAATCTTTGGTTGTGTTTGTATCTGTGGTGTCTTTAAACAGAGTGTACATCTTTCTGCCAACATTTGCATAGCATTCAAAACAACAGAGACCATTTGGAGCTACATAAAGATGTGGGGAGAGATTGCAAGGATCTGGGGCATGGTGTTGGGCCGAGCTGTGTGTGCATGGGTCCTGGCTGAGGTTTATTTACCCTCAGTTGTTCTTCAGCCTGCCACTATCAGTGCAGCTCTCCTTCTAATGGAGAGGTCGACAGTTGTGCATGCAAAGAATCATGTAGGTGTTAGTTTTGTTTGACAATACAGACTGTCCATTAACAATCTTAATCTTGTATCCTTACAGACGTATTTTTTTATTTTTTATTTTTTTTTTAGTGTGTGTGTGGAGTTGAAAGTTGGGAGTAAAATATTATTGAAGAGGAAAGAAATGTTCTTCTCTCCCCACACCTCATTTATTTATTTATTTAAATAAAATGTTTCTCTTTATTTAAGTTTCCCCTTCTGAAAGCTGATGTATTTTTCATTGAAAAGACTGGACACCTCTTGCAGAGAATTTACAAAGGGAATGAAAACACTGAATTCTTTCACTGCTTTGCACAGAAAATGAAAGCAAATTTCAGGAGCCCTTCTGGGCTGATTTTTCAACAGAGATGGGGATAGATGGGATTAGTCTGTGCTCATCCTACTCACCGACCTCCCTTCCCAACATTGTTTTGGATGAAATGCAAAATCAAATCCTGCAAGATGTGATCATTTAGGGTACTGTGGCATATTTTGAAACAGTAGGGCTGTTAGCCCCAGCATCTTGGCCAAATTCCAGCCTGGATAATTACATTCTGCCGGCCTATATTCCAGCCTGCAGTTCAAATAGGAAAAAAAAAAAAAAAAAAAAGAGTTAGCATTTCTCCTCCGAGAAGTCCTGCTGTGTGATGACTGATGCTTTTCCACTGCAGAAGTAGTTGCATTTCAGGAAACATTGCCTCCATGTTCCTACGTGTCTTGCCCATTGGATTATAACTGCTGTTCAAGATGTCCGGCCAGCTCCTTGGTGGGAACAAGGCAGCAGAGCTGACCCGGAGGGAGCTGTGGTGCTTGGTACCAGCCCCTTCACTATTCCATATCCTTCACTGCATGGAGCCCCGACCCTACGCAGGGCCGAGGTCCCCTGCAGCCCGTGCAGCGGGGTCTTTGTCTTCCTGGCAGCCAGGACTGGGACTGGGAGGACACACGGCGAGAGAGAGGGCAGGCTGGCCTCCGGTGGGAGAGGCAGGACTCACTTGACCCATGCCTGTAATTTGTAAAGAGCATTTTTACACCAGATCAATGCTTTCCTCAGCATTTTAATGCACCCCATTGGTGTCCTTAAACTCTAATGATGCAGTCTGTGAGAAGCTGCCATTTATTACCCACAGATGGGGTGATAATTATTGACAAGATTGTAACTAATAATTAAACCCATTTGCTCCTTTAAACAAGTTGGTGTGAATTATTTGCCGGGAGAGCTTTAGCAGGCCTCTGGTCACTCCCTCCGCGTGCCTGAAGCACAAGGCTGCCCAGGAGCGGCCCTCCGTGCGGGACGAAGGCTGAAGGCCGCCCCGGAGAGTTGGGCTGCTCAGGTGCTGGAGCCCATGTCCTGGGCCCTGGCGGGCCTGTTCTGGCTGCAGCAAGAGGAATGGGGGCACTGCTGTGCTCCCACACAGCCCCAGGGCTGGGCTGCCTGGGCCTGCCCCTGAGGGGCTCAGGATGGGGCTGCTCAAGGGGCTTGGGTCAAACTTGGAGCTGTGGATGGAAAAATCCATCCATGAAAATGTTCCCAATGGCTTGGCCTTCTCTTCCCTGAGCATGCCTCTGCTACAAGTGGAAGATCAATAGTCACACATTCCCCGTTATTAGGTTTATTATTCCTCAGGTCAAAATCCCATTCCTGAAGCACAGATGATGGGAGGGCAGGGGGAAGGATAATTTCTTCATGCCTTCAGCAGAGAGACTGTAAAAGGGCTGTGAAACCCTTCATAGCACTGCGTGGCTTTCTCTCAGTGCTAAGGAGTGAAACGCTGTCCGCTGCCGAGCACTGATGGTGGGCACACGCAAACGAGTGAGACCCTCACACTGGGACTGGATTGGGAATGCACAGGGGGGCAGGGGGAGCACTGCGCTGCCCATCATGGCCACAAGGCCCCAGACAGAGGAAAAGGAGATCTGGCAGGGGGAGCGCAGCGCAGCACGGGCAGCATCACACCACTCGGAAGGCTGCCCGGGGGAGCTGCCTTTCCCTGGTGTACGTTTCGAGGGAGGGTGTAAATCTAATCTCGGTGCTAGGGTCCATTAGCATTAGAGGGGAGTACTGTATATGCATTCATTCCCCGCTCTCACCCCTGGATGACAGAGTACCCCCCTCTGTTGTCTGCTTTAGCGCGCAGGAAGGGCTGCCCATTAATTCTGCAGCAGCAGTGGATAATGCCATCGTAAGTCTTAGGTGCCTCTGAATTTTGTGATCATTTTAACGTAATAAATACCCCACACTTGTGCATTTAATTAGTTGCGTGTCTTGCGGTTGCTCCACCTGCACTATGATTTGGCCATCTGTTTGTGGAGGTGGGCCTGGTTCCTTGCACTCCCAGCCTGCCTCTGGTGGGGCTCAGCCCCAAGGAAAGAGATCAGAAGCTGGCGACGAGGTTTGTGTCAAGAGAAGGGAGCTGCAATTGTGGCGGTTAGTTCTGCTGGAGGTGCAAACCTGAGCTGAGAAGCTGAGTGCAAAGCAACCAAGTTGTCACAGATCAGTCTCAGTACAACCCTTATGTCAGTGCCATCTCACCCTCTGCAGTGCCATGCATGCACTGCCTGAATGCTCAAGGATGGGTTTTTGAAGAGGTTTCTGTGCTGTTAAACATACTGGCAGCAATATTTCCCCTCTTACTTCTTTCTTCCCTTCCACATGTGCCATGTAGTACCGGCCATGCAATGACAGTAAAAACCTGTGTCCACAAAAGCTTGTTTGTTTGACTTTGCCTTCAGTATCTTGTGATTTCTTGTCCTTCAGTGAAAACGACTATCAGAAGGCCAACAGTCTCACATCTGCATGTTGCAGGATTTTATCACTTACTATTAAACTCCACCAAAGCCTCACACTCACAGAAATTACTGTGCAAAGGTAAGCAACCACTCTGCCCTCCTAAACCTGCTGGAGCCTGGAGTAACCCAGCAAGGAAGTTGGGCTTTAGACTGAGTCCTGGGTGAGAAACACAGTGGCCAGCAGACACAGCTGCTACTCTGGTGTGAGGCTAATCTGCTAATTCAGATCCCTTCAGGGAGTGCTGACAGGTTAACTTCTCCTGGCAGACTCAGTGTGCCTTCAGTATTATTTCTCCGTGACTCTGACTTTATGCCTTAAAATATTGTCTGTCATCCCCCTGTGGCTTGCAGAAAGGTGAAACAAAATTGAAGCTGGCACAAAAGCCAGAGTGCATGCTCTGGATTGCTTGGGAAGGTGTGATGCCATGGGGATACCTGCCCCGGGTCATGTCTGTGCAATTGGTGGAGCCTGAACCACACACATCTGGCAGCAGCATCCAGGCAGGGTGGCTGGGGCCAGCCTCGACCCCATCAGGGTGTACTCATGCTGCTGCCTGCAGCCATCCCACCAAACTCGGAGGGACTATTTACATGCTTAAAGTTAATCACAAGCATAAATCTCTGCAGGATCAAGGCTGCAGAGGAAACCAAGAGAAGGCACTGAAGAGGCATATGTCAAACGGGGCTGTGGTCGAGAGCTTTCTGAGACTTAAACATAACATTTGAGAAAATGAGTCCATTTGTTTCCGAGGCATCCTGAACATTGGCATGTAGTAATTCTGTAATGGATCCATTTAACCAGTCCTATAACTGAAATATCCTTAGCAAATATTTCCTTTAATAGCACTTAAAGAGGGAGTGCAGGCAGAGAAATTTTAAAGCACAGCTGCATTATTGCTGAGTTCCAGTTTTGAGGGCTTTCAAAGTACCAAGCTAATTTTTCTCCAAATTTGGCTCAATATTTAACAAATGAAATGAGATCAGGAAGCAACACGAGGTCAACATTTTTAACCTGAGTTGTTTGTTAAATCATCCCAGTTCTGCAATAACAACTAGAACAAGTTCATGTTGCATTTGAAGGTAATTCAGACAACACTCAGAAACTTTGTAATAAAATAATGATTCTGGAGAACAAAAGTAGAAATGGCAGTTGGGAAGAAACCTTTCTGAGAAAGGTGGGAAAAGCTTGCAAAGCTGGGACCTGGAATCAGAAGAAAAGTCAGGTTTCAACCTCAGCTGTAGTGATTAACTGCCTTAACTCTATAATTGTTAATGAGCATCTAGCATGAGCCAAACCAAATTGGCATTTGTACAGAACCAAGACAGCCAGATTGCATCCAACCTGAAGCCGCACCAAGAAGGTGGACATAAACCATTAAGAGTGGGGGCAGCACTCGCCAAAGCATTTCTCAGCCTTGTGGCAACCTGTGTGGTGCCCAATGGGTAGGAAAAAGACCATGGAGACTGCAGCACTTTGGGTCATCAGTGTTAAAGGGAGGTCCTCAGGCACAGCTGGGTGCCCATTTCCATAGAAAGCAGAAATCTGGGAGCCTCCCTCTTGTCTGAGCTGCCTGAGCTCTCTGTCCTCCTGGGAGTGAGAGAGCACTGTCCCTCAGGTCACTCCAGCAATTGCTCCCTGCAGTTCAGCAGGTAGATGTTAATCAGGCTGTCCAGATCACACAGCCCCTTGCAGATCACCAGCAAGGGCTCTCTAGGCCACTGGTGGCCCACGGCCCTGTTTCAGAAGCAACGTGCTATAATAATGTATCCCTAACCATGCTTTATACCAATAAGTAGGCTATAACCCTGTCAAGGTGTGCTGGTGACTCTATAAACCATGAGACCTGAATGGTCAATGGTCGAGTGGTTTAAAGCTGTCACCAGAATACTGAGATAGCCTTATAAGCCTTGTGCTGCATGGCTGGGGATACATTATTCACTATAATATATGGTAAGAAATACCTGCACGGGGTCTGAAATGAACTGCTTTAGCCACTAGCCAGCATGGCTAGTGATCAGGGAAATCCGTCAGCATTTTCGTGTGCAGTGGAAGGCAAAAACACAGAGGAGGGGAACTTGCCTTCGCTGTGTAAAGAAATTGGGTTTTGTGCAGGGGATGGAGGGTGAGCACAACCAGACCCCTGCCTGCAAGCGTGGGCAGAGCCCCTCGTCTGCAGCCGGTGCCCAGAGCTGGTGGCCTTCAGACCTGTGCAGCTGGTACCATGGCCACCCGGCGAGCGGTGGCACCATCCGGCCTGCCCCAGCACCCTCCAGAGCAGAGCTGTGCTCTGCTCATCCAGCTGGCATGAACACTTGCAGTTTTGCTCTTCTTCCCTCGGACCACGATCAGTTCCTGGCTGAGCAGACCATAAGGAGCCCGGCTGGCTCAAGAGAGATGGGGCTGAGATGGAGGATGAGGGTGTATTGGGGCCTTTTCCAGTATTTATATTAATATAATAAAATAAACATTATAAAATTTAATATGGTATAGTATAGCATAGGATAGTACATTTAATATAATATAATATAATATAATATAATATAATATAATATAATATAATAGTAACCAAGATGTTTTATGGCATATTCTCCCAAATCTTGATAAAGAGTTTCCATCTAATCCCCATCTAATTTCTGGGGAAACCAAGGCAATGTGCAATGCTCCCCGAGATCATCAGTCACTAGTTCTTAGACTGACCCATCTGGGGCTCTGTGTGGATTTTTGGGGTGATTTCAAGAGAGAAGTCAGCAATTCTACATCTGTCTCCCTGCAGCCATGGCCAGGCTTGGAGCATGAATGTGCAGCTGTGGGGGTGAGGGAGGAGAAGGCAGGGTTTGGTCTGGCTGAGAAATGGTTGGGGATGCTCCAAATCAGAAGGCCAGCACATGGAGAGGTGACGAGGGTTTTGAAGAGGCTCTGGAGGGGTTTAGGGCTAAGTAAGCTTCTGTCACCCCCAGCCTTGGAAGATAAAAGATTTTCCCCATCCTGACAACCTATGCTGCTCCATCCATAGGAGACAAAGTCCCTGAGAGCATGCCTGTGTGAGTGCCCTTTGGGGGTGGGGGAGAAATGAGAAGGGCTTGGGGGATTTCATTAGGAAATGGGAGGGGAGGCAGGAAAGCCCTTGTCCCTGAACAATAGACGGAGATCAAATAGCCTCGAGGGCTTGGCTGGTTTGTTTTATTTATTGAATATAGACACACATGTATACATAT